GGTTCATTGTCTGGGGACAGGGTTATGTTTTAAGCATGGGTACGGGGGTCGTAAGCCGCTCCTACATGGGCGCCGACTGGAAAACACATTTAGCACCGATTGTGTCAACGTCCCGACGGCCCACGTGAGAGGCGGCAGACGGGGAGCTGTGTGCCAGCGCTAACCTGTTGCATCAGCTGTGGCAAAATCCACCCGCATAGCCACAATGCGCATACACTGGGAAAATGCGCTGTAGAACTCCACTTATCCGCGGCCCTGTTACCTGCAATCCCTGTTATCCACTGCACCGAAACGGCCCGCAGAATATCCCTTTATCCCTTCCTCTTATCTGTGTATTATCAGTGTTTTTGCCCAATTTTGCTTTGCGAAGCCTCTTAACAAGCCTTCGATCAGAAAATGTAATCCTTATAATCGCATTTATTATGACGCTCTTGGTGTGGTGAATTTCTGTCATATATCTGCACATTTTTCACAGATAGCGGGGGTTTCTTGGCAAATTCGTCCCATTGTTTACATTTATTATCACTTTTTTTTACCAGATAACCTGTGGATAATAGGGTCCACAAAGTTCATGGGCCACATCGGCCGCATGAACGCAGATAAGAGGAGGAGTTATCGCGTGCTTGAGTCGTTTGTGTGCATGTGAAAGCTGACCGTGCAAGCAAAACGAGACAGATATTAGTCACTTGGTAGAGAGTTTTGCCCTCTCCAAATTGGGTTCAGCATGACACTCCACAGGAAGTGAATTACTTGGTTCACAAATGATGGTGAGTGTCTGTTTGTAAGTCTTGAACACGAGACTAAAAGCAATTTACAACTTTAGGCTGATGCTCCCATAATAACTAATACCCAATTTGGGCCCAAATTTAAACATTTTAGCAGACACCCTATTGTATATGCCCCAAATTTCATATTTTTAGCTCTTCTAAAACATAATTTTAACTTACATTTACGGTCACTCAGTTATCATAGGCGATATGTAGTAGATACCATATCACACATTGCAAATATTAAATATGTTGGGAATCTAGTCCTGTACTTAAAACATCAGGTAAAAATAATGTTAAGCTTTTATTTAATGTATTTATCCATTTCATACACATTTCAATATTGTAACACTCTATATTTGAATCAATGTGAATATACTGAGAGTACGGTAACATTGATTGTGAGCCTGTGTCTACCTTTCAGATATCACTCATCAGTCAAGCTCGCTGTGGCCATGAATCCAACTCAGACTTCTGGGTTCATAGTGCAACAACTGTGCCACCGCTCCCTCCCCCCCCCCCCCTCCCTCTTATGAAATATTTTGGTCTGCCCAGTTTTTAATATATCTGAGAAACATTTGTATATTTTGATAATTTGTTTTTCACATTCCTGCTGCATTTCTCGCAGCGAGCGTTGTGCAACACTTAGGGATTGACATAATGAGTACAGAACGGCCACTGCCTTGCTTCGTTACTGCACCTCGGAGCGTCGGTGAACATGTTTTTACTTTAAGACCATGTGGGCGGAGCCGTGGTGCAGTGAACTCTGCGAACCGAGATAAATTCCCGGTCGTGGCTGACAACATCTTCACCAATCAATCGAACAACCTTTACTTTCTATGCCAGTATCGCCCTCAATAAGAAAAGTAGGCATCGGTGCTTCGTTACGGCAGAACGGTAACAAGTACAGGGGGCGTGGAGCAACAGGAACAATCAAATAAACCTGTCACGACTGGTAACCGCGCGCAAGAGAAAGTGCAAACGTTCATGACGAATAGCATAAGAAAAGTAAGTAGTAGATCAAACAAATAATAAGGAAAGAAACCTCCCCCCCCCCTTTGCTTATTTAATTTAACATTTTATGGTAAGACAATATTCGTTTATCGCTGATGCTGATGTAGAGCAACAATTACAACTTCACATTGAGGTGGTCGGCAGTGGTTGTATTGTATCGGCGTGTGAAGATGCCATCCCTCGTATTTGTGAATTGGTCATCGAGCCGTTATGCATTCCGTGGTCCGTTCAGGGTAACCGCAGTCGCATGAACGTGCAGTTTTTTTGTAATCATCAGTGGCAAGTGATACTTGAATTGATCCTCGGCCCACCCCTCTTCTCAACATCTTTCACTAACTAGCATGGTGAAACATGGTAAAAAGAAAAACCCACACAGGTGGACACTTCATTCACCAATGGACTGACAAAAAGCTGTATTCGTTTAAAGATCAGGTGGCACTCTTTCACTCTCCTTTCTGGAAGCATTTATCGTTTATGCACAACACAGCCCCTACTTGTACGTACAATCGGTGTAACTAAAACTGAATTTGTTATTTTAACTGTTTCAATGGGGACATTTTTAACCGCACCGACCAGCCATAACAGGATGTAGGCTTCACCTGCTCTACACCGTAACGTTGAAATAAGAAGGATATAGTGGCCCGACATTTGGCTTTTATTCAAAATCTCGTGTTTGCTCTGTGGCGAATGAATGGGCCGAAGAATAAGCCAATCTCTGGCGAGCAGCAGTCGTCGAAGCAGCAGCAACAGCAGCACCTGCCGCACAGATTCTACGACGTAAATTGAGGTTTGTTCAGGTGAAGCGATGACTTAGAATGGCATATTCTCTCCTGACACGTCAGTCAGGTATTTCCCCTCAGCCTCTCCTCTCTCTCTCTCTGTCTGCGTTTTTTTTCCCCCCAGACCCACTCCACTCCTCAGTGTGCACTCACGCATAACCTGGGCTCACCTGTATCGCCTCTGTTGACATTTCAATACTGTTGCCTGGCGGGCAAACAGTGCCAGTGAAAAAAAGCAACGATTTGCAGCGGCTGTGACGAAGCGTTCGTTGTTCGCCGGGCGGACGCTCTGCCTCGCGTGAGCCACGACCAGCATGCCCCCCCCCGCCACCCCCCTTGTGAATTCAGTACACCCGTCATAGCGGTGGAGTGGAGTTGTATTATTGTTGGAATATTGCATTGCGCTAAGTGGCCCGCGACACAAAACACACTGCCACAGCCAGGCGGCTCGTATTGTGTGCGTTGTTTTCCTTCTTTTTTTTTTGCTAAGACCAGACATGCCGCGCCTATACATTGTATTACCGCAAAATAATACAATGTATAGGCGCGCTGTGTTATGCGCGGATGCTGCCGCGGTGGTCATGGTTAGCGGCGCGCTCCGGACTTGCGATCTAGAGGTCCGCCGGTTTGACTCCATCCTCCGGCGCGGCAGTTGAAACAATTGGCAAGTTTGTTTGCTTAAATAATATATATTGCTCCCGCTGAACAACATTGAAGAGTAGGCCAAATATCGTCTACGAGGGCTCTCTATGAAGCTCCCTCCGGTGGAGGCCCGTCCACCAGCAGTGGCGTGAGTTCGCAATCACAGGGACGCACCTTAACCTGCGCCGCGTGTGCGGGTTCATCGGTCGGTCGCGCTGTTTTGTTGCAACGCTTCTTCTTCTCGTGCCGTCGCCTTGTTTCGAGCTCGCGTTCGTTACGTTACACGGGCAGTGTGGATGCGGTCGTCTCGGTGATTAATAGATACGCAAACTTGTTTTAACGTTGGGGCAGATGGTGTGTTTAAAAAGAGTGTCGCGTATGTAGCGGCGTAATCACAATGCACATGTACAGCCGCAAGAGTCAAACTTCTTCTACATGGGTTTCTTCACGGCACTGTTGCGGGTCGTTGATGCTATTTTACCATACTTCACCGCGCTGGTCAGTGCGGGTTGTATGTATGTTAAACTTCTATTGTACCATACGTAGCCAACCGTGATTATTGGAGGTGCGGGAGAAAGTTAAGTTGGGGGGAGGGTAGATGTGGGGCATAGAAGTAGAGCACAACATAGAAGTAGAGTACAGTTTGTGAGATCTGACGGAGGTCCCTGGCCATTTCCCAAAACCTGGTCTCTCAATCTTGTTTTCTGGCATCTTGAGGCAAATTTGTGTTTAATTGCTTAACAACAACAAAAACTGACGGTGTCATCCCATAAAGTGAAGACAAATTGTTTACTTGTAAACATTTGTTTAAGGGGTTTCTTAGAAAGCAAAGCATGACGCATCTTTCATTTCATGCATTTCGGATGCAGGACCTTTTAACAAGAAAACAAATTACGGTGCACATTTCGCCACATTTCATTCTTGCAGTCTGGTGCCACTTGAGGGCTGCCTCGTATCTGGATCTGACCCGGACAGTCTGGCAAATGGCACCTGTGTTCCGGATGGCAGCATGGATGGATTCGCACCGAGGTGTGGTATCGGCTTTGCCGTGTTGAACTTTCTCCCTGTACAACCCGCAGGCTTTGTAACAAACCCCCTGCCGAGACATCAGTCCAGCTCTTTGGTTTACAGTGAGGAAAAGGCAGCATACCGTATTCCACGTACAGTAGAGTATATGCACAGCCGGTATGCTGATTATTTATATGGAAAGGAAACGGATTTGAAACATGCCTTTTATTTATTTCCCATTGTTTTGCGTGTCGCTTTTTTTGTTGGTTAAAAACGGCCCCGCGTGACCCCGCGCGAGCCAGACAAGGGGGCACAACGACATGGGGGGGTGTGTGGGGTCGGCTGGGTTCATTCCGTGCTCATTCGCGGGGCCTCCGTGCGTGTGCGTGCGTGCGTGAGCCATGTGGTGGAGGCTTGGGGGCGGTTTGGGGCTGGTTTGGATGGTGGGAGGATGGGGGTGGCGGGGCGGGGGGACGTCTCAACCGCAAGCAAAAGTGGTTCGTCAGGCCTCTCGTTCCGCGATGTCACTTTGTGTGCGTGCACGAGCGGCGGCGGCGGCGGGAGAACCGCAGGAGGTGAGGTCCTGCCAGCCATCCAGCAAAGCCCGTGTCAGAACGTCTTCCCGGCAGGGACAGGTCAGGCGCGCTCGGGTTGGATCGGGGCAAGGGCCAGGGGCCCGCGGCGCGAGCCGAGGTCCTGTCGTCGAGCCGTGCGTGTAGCGACGCGAGCCGCACTGCTTGGTGTTGTTGTCATTACTGCCCAGAACTGACCTGGCCGTCACTTTGACGGCGTAATTCAAGGTGAGGGCGAGCGTTGTGAGTGAGTGAGCACGTGCGTGATTGTTGTGTGTGCGCCTCGGGTGGATTTTTGTTTTTAAGTTTCTAACAGCCGTCGTGTTTATCCCCGAATTCGCACGAATTTTGTGCCGGTTGTTTTGTATTCACATAAACAACGTCCGCCAAAAACGCCGTTGCCAGCAACTTGCCAAATTAGCACGTACAACTTGTTCGGGGTTAATTCTGTGTGAGTGCGTAAATACAGCCGAGCGACTCATCAGTACAATTTTACAGCTTGTTTCCCCTTTCACGGAGACGCGCACGGCAATCACGTCATGCTTGTTAACGTAATTGGGGAAGAAGGAGTGATAAAGGCCCCTTCCCAGGACGAGAGGAGGGCCTGTGGTTGGTAGCGGCGGCGGCGGCGCAGGAGAATCAAATTGTCCGCTCGGATGAGGACGGGAGACGGGGCGGGGAGAGAAGCCACTCCTCCTCCCGGCTGCCCCCCCCCGACCCTGGCCTCGCTCTCTCGGGGTGTGGACGCGTTGCGTCTCGCCGCTCGTAGCTCCACGGCTGCCATCTCCCGAGGTATTAAAATAAAAGGGCCGGGACCTAACCAGGCGTGGGAAGAAGACGAAGAATATCCTCACAGTACTGCTGGAAGGAGGGCATAACGGCACGTGCATTGCTCGAGTTAGTGTGTCATCGCCGGGCGGACAGAATCCAGTTACTTTTAATGTCCTCGGAAGACTTCACAGAATTCCCAGGACAACGGCTGCCTTAAAGAGAGGATGATGCTGGGAATGCCAGGACAGGTGGCAACGCTAGGCCGCTAAAAGCCGTGCCAGGTGCTGTGCCGTATCGGGGAGTGGTGGGGGCCCAGGAGAGAGAAGTGAAAGTGCCGAGCGTGCCCACACAAGCGCATGGCAACGCGGTGCCGAGGGCCCTGCCCGTTTCCCATGGTGGGTTTTTGTTGTTGTTTGTTGGTGGTGTGCGTTCTCAAAAGAAGTGTAGCGCGCTGATTGGTGTTGTTTCTCACGGAGAGCGCTGCGTGAAAGAAACTGTGGCGTTTTTTTTCTATTTGCGGCGCCGTGTTGTTATATAAATGCGAACCCTCCAAAACGAATGCGCTACATTTGAACTATTCGTGCCGCTCCGTGCCGGTGTTTAAGCTGGAGGCCGACAAACCGAGTTTGGCATCGTCGTTTAGTCTTCCGAGTGTTCAAGCAGCAGCTCTTCTGTGAGAGTCAGATGTTCCGCGGAACGAGAGACACCTTTCGTAAGAAGGTGGCACGGTCCGAATACTCATGCCCTCACCTGGCTTTACCTTCCTGACTAAAACCGTGCAAAAACCTTCAAATTATTACTGTACTTCCTTTTTTATTCTCTCCATTGTTTTCAAAATACCTCCGGCACCTTAAGGCTGCTCGTTACTGTGTGTAACAAGCAAGTCCTTGCTGTGCAAGCACGCGCGTGTGTGGTGTGTAACTATGCAGCCTGCACAGTGAAACGCGCATGAACCTCATGCCCTTTATGAGGGGTCTCAATTAGTGTACCTGCAGGCTTGGCACGGTTTTCTGGTCTGTCTGGTTAGCCTTGCCGCTCACTCACACCATCCCCTGGCTCCCTGTTGGGGGGGAGGGGGAGGGATAGGGGGCAAGTACCCAGGCACAACGGTGCAGACTGTGTGAGACCAGTGGCTTAATACACGGAGGTGTTGTTTTAACGTGCATTGTGCCACCGCGGAGCGACATCGCCTCTTTTTTGATACGTGTCTCATGTCACGTGGAATTGGAGTCGCGATCGCCGCCGCCGCTGCGTGTGCGCTTCTGAGCTCGTGCACGTGCCGCGACCCCACAAATGACACTCGCTATGGGGAACGACGGAACGTGAAGCCCGGCTTGACCCACCCCCCACACACCCCGCGTACGCCGTGTGGAATGAATTGTTAATTGATCAGTGTGGCTTTGGTGGGATGATCTACTCCTGAGCCTCGGCGAGATTGGGCGCCATCTGGTATTTATCTACCAACTCTGAACTGGAGGTTGTGTGCACCCCTCCCCTCGTGTCCCTAGCAATTAGGGACGATTCGTTCCGATCTACTCCGAAAAAACCTGGCACCGCTGCCGCCGCGCAGGTCCGAGCGCGATGAGCTCGCAGCAGCAGCAGCAGAGATTCCCTTTCCGCCTTGGGCACCTGAGTGCCTCGCTGCTGTTAGCACAGCACGTCGCACTAAATAACCCAATATGCAGCCTGGCAACAAGAGCACTGGAGGGCCTTGCGCACAACACAGTGTGTGGGAGCGCGCGCACACACACACACGCACACGTGTGTTTGTGTCGCACATTTGTGCCTGAACCCGGCGACCTGAGGTTTTTTTGGCTTGCAGCATTTCGCGCAATATGCAGCTCAAAACAAGAAGAAGAAGGAAACACTGGAGGGTCTTGAGTGGCAAACATTGTTTGTGTGGGTGTGTGTGCACGTGGTGCATTTGCGTCTGCTTGTGGTAGTTGGGTGGACGTAAGGATACTGCCATCATCCCGGGAGTAAAAGCACACACGTGCCTGGTCCTCATGGATAACTCATTATCCAACAGTGGATTGAGAATGGCTGCTGCTGCTGATTCTCATGCTGCTGCTGATGCTGCCCGTGACATATTTTCAGACAAGGACCCTGTGACTGCCCAAAGTAATCTGATCAGCTGATGTTTTCCCAAAAGAGAACGCATTGGTCTGCTTGAGAGACTGCAATTCAGAAAAGACGTTGTTAGAATAATGTTTCTCTTCCAAATTGCAAATGTGCACGCTGTAAAGCCTTACTTGCAGGCGGGCTGTTTAACGCTTTAGTTTACTGTTCCTGGAGAAATTATCTTACAAATGCCAAACTCAAATTAGTTCACGTAAATTGATTTGATTAAGCGAGGCTCTGTTTGTTCAGGAAGCCTTTTTCGGCTTTCACACTACATACAATTCTCACGCGCATAAGACTACAGATCTGTGCTGGGATGGTGAGAACGCTGCTTTCAATCAATTCCTGGCCACGCAGAATCCACATGTAAATTGGCATCTGTCTAATTGAGATTAAAGTAAAAAACTAATTCCAGCCATTCTCAAATCCACCAATGGATGAAGGTCTCCTCTCCATGTCATGCCAGTCACGAGTCTTGTGTTCTGTACTTGTACCATGGTGGTCAGTGCCAGTTGGTGTAGGTATAGACTGTAAAACCAGTTCCAATATCACTTATCACTGACATCAGCCATGGGCGGGAATCGAACTCGGGGTACAGGGTTCATTGTGCAGTACGCTAACCACTGTGCCACGGCTCATCTCCTGGTCCACTTAGCCTAAAACGAATAGATCATGGCTCGTCAGAGCTGGAGAGATAAAGTTAGTCAGGCACGGAGCTGACCACACTACCCCCAATGTGTCATTGTACTTATTAAGTACCCACGATCAAAATGTATTAAGTATGCCCAGCCGTCTACAGGGTTTAATAAGGCGTTGCTGACAAACATCTCACTGGGTTTAACACGAAGTTCCATAAAAACAGGCCTTTGGGAAGCCATTGTTGGATGAAGGCCTCCCGATACACACCGTGTCATTCATGGGGGTTATTTGACCATCAAGTTTATTTTGTTTAACCAGTTGAGAACTCAAGAGACCAATACAGTCTCATTTTCAAGACAGACTTGTGGCATTGGTTTGCCAGTACAATCCCAATCGAGTAATTTAAGGTTAATTTTCGAACTTCACAAATTTTTACCCATGATGCCAACGCGCAATGGGCAATTATTGCGAACAACGCCATGGGTTATTTGTTTTTAATGCTTTTATTATATTCGAACAAGAGCCCGAAACAGAGCATAAACCGCGACGTACGAAGAGGCGCATATAAACTCCGCAGGTAAAGAAAAATCCAAAATCTATGCTCCTGCACAATCAACGGAAAGGACAGGGGGTGGGGGGGAAAGTTGGGCTCACTGTCCTACCCAGGTGGGGACCGCGCGTGGGAACATGGACTTACATTTTATATACGCTGGGGGGATCTTTAATGTCCACTGTGGAGCCGACGGCGCGTGGTATTATTACGGTGAATGCACACCGGCAGTAGTAACCAGGGCGGCCACTGGAATTGAACCGCGAACCTTTGCGACGAGCGGCGAACCCGCTACCGCCATGTCGTCACCGGCCATACTTCAACCGTGCCGATCGGTGCAGGTTGGTGAAATCGGGGTACGTGGACGTGGGAGCATATAAGTGCAGTAGAACAACCAATGTTGCTATGCTGTTAACTGACTTGCTGCCCACCGCGTAGCCCCAAAGTCTACAGCAACCTGTGTTGCGTGGTTGTCACCCATCCAAGCGCTATCCATATCCAGCTAAATCCCGCCCGGCTAGCTTCCGCCATCTGACGAGACCTGGCGCATTCCGGGCGATTTGGTCATGGGCGAAGTGCTATGCAATGCTTTTACATTCACGCGCCACTGGGCGGTATCAATATACATAGAGGTACGGACATAGCTTCAGCTTGTGTGGTCCCTACCTCTTTGCAAAATAAACATTGCCCACGCCCCTAGATCAGCCATGTGTCGTGGCACTTGCCTGTAATTCCAGCCCTTTGGAGAGGCAAAAGGGTTGGTGGATCACGAAGAGATTCGCGAGGAGGCCAGGAAATCACGGTCACAACAAATGGGTTGATGAAGCCATCCGAATATTTGCCAGCCCACGGACCCGTCTGCACTACTTACCAACTCGCCCACCCTACTGATGTAGGCGGCAGGCTCCCGGTTTGTAAACCCTTTTACCGCCTGCATACCGATTTTCAAAGCAACAAAAATGACATCCACGTTTTTTTTCCTTCTTCAGAAAAATGTCTGAAGTGGTGTGATTAGCTCTGAAAATCGATATGCGGTAAAAGGGTTTGAAAATTGGCGGCCTGCCGCAATCCTGATTGGGGTGAGACTCAGCTCATCATCCATCCAGGGGTCTATAAAATAGGTACCACTTTGTGGGGAAGTCAACAGTGGTTGTCCTATGGATGGCCTTGCCCCCGTCATGGGAATGCGAATTTTCCACCACTGGCTCGGGGTTGTGAACAGGAGACGAACGCAGCCTTGATATTCTCGTCTGAAGCGGGACATCACTTTGACTTTGGCACGCACGCATCTCTGCCAACCGATTACCGTTATACCCTCTTAATGCATCGGGATTTTACGAATCTTAGCAGCGTTCATTGAAGCGCTGTCGTCCCGACAGTTCTGTTCCTTCACCTGAAGAAGGCTACTTGTGTTGTGGCTGAAACGTCGTGATAATTTAATTTTATTATGTTTTATTTCTATTACTTTGTTTCCATTCTACGTGACTTTACCGAAAGAACCAAGAACACATCGGGATTTTCTTTGAGTACTCCTGGCTAAAACTTGCGAATGCATTTCTCTCCTGAATACGAGTCTTGAGGCTTGGTGAGCCTTTCCTGCAGGAATAACCCACGTTATTATGCTTTCCAATGTGCATTGCGAATCACACTTCAACCATCATGAGGATGATGATGGTGGGTGTAGGATGTTCACTGCAGTTACGATGGAGTAATAAACTGCCCCAGAGACAGAAGCAACCCGCTTAACGACTTATTGTCGTTAGTAGCGAGCCTTAACGAGTGCCTAAAGCCGCATGGTAAATGATGAAAGTTGTGCCACATACGGGAGAATCCGTATCACGTGAGACAATGCGCGCAATATTGATATTTCAATACGGATAAGAAAGGAACTCCGTGTGCAAGCACTGCCATTGATCATCCATCCAGGTCTGCAGTCCTCATCATTAAATAATTAGAGATTCGCAATGAAAAAAAAACATTGTGCCATGTTCACTAAAGAGTCAAAACGAAGGCAAGAGGCCAAATATTATCCCCCACTTAAAGTGAATTTAAGCGTGTAACTTGCCAGTGCCTGATTGTCTAAGGCTCTTGCCGCATATGAATTTGTCAATTCTTAAGCTCGCGTTAACTCATCTAATTACGGCTCTGCCATGTTTAATGCTCCTGCATGGGTTGGTGCTCTTTTAAAGGGGATACAACTGGAGGCCGACCGAAATTCGGCTTCGGTTTCGGCCCCAAAAGTTGGCAAATGGCCTCTTTCGGCATAGTTTCGGCTTCGGCCGAAAGTCAGTTTTTAACTTTCGGTCTGGTTTCGGTTTCGGCCGAAACTGATATTGACTTTCGGTCGTCAACCAAAGATCTATTTGTAGAATATAACGCGAGTGCTACGTCTATCACTCTACCTATCGGCCGGTCAGTCGGCGCTTGGCAAATCCTATGCGATAGGCTGCAAACACACACACACGTCAGTAGCAGCAGCTTGGGAGCGAGGTTACAACCGCAACCATGGTCTGCTTAATGTATATACGACCGGTCAACAGCAGCCTGCATTTCCATCCATGGGTGGAGTCTCTTTGGCGGGACGACAACAAAGTGCATCTGTTGTCTGCTCCCAGCTGCCTGCCCGCCTTGGCTTTTATGTGTTGCGTTCGCTTCAGTCTACACGCGTGTTGATACCGAGATTCTAAGTCTGACAATATTGATATTCAGTTAGTTAATAGTTCCGTAGCGAATTGGTGATAACGAAATTACGAATCTGAGTGAAGTCGAAAATTCAAGTTAATAAACGGAGCAGTTAATCACGGTGAAGAATGTCGAAACCATGCGGTGTGGGATGACTTCACTAAAGTCGATCCTGATGCAAGCAAGGCGCAGCAACCTGCTGGGCGAGAATGCGGAAACAAAACTGTTGTTTCTTAACTACAACATTCGTTTGTTTGGATATAATTACTAAGTAAGCAACGCCTAAAGATTTGATATTAAGCGACAACTAACCGCAGGCTCTGAATGAGTAGTTCTAGATTTCTTTTTTTTATTAAAGTAGCATTGCATCATGAGATATTTCATAAATCTTGTGTTCGGTAAGTTCTGTTATATACCTTTCTGTTTCGGTCTCGGTCGAAAGTGTAGTTTAACTTTCGGTTTCGGCCGAAAGTGAATTTTTTACTTTCGGTCTGGTTTTGGTTTCGGCCGAAACCAGAAATTCTGTTTCGGTCGGCCTCTAGATACAACATTGCCTTTTAAAAGGCCGGGGGGGGGATTCCATTTAGAACAAGCAAAACAATGTGTGTGTGCTTTGGCGGACACTCGCTAGAGAGACGTTTTATTCTGTGCGGAGAAATTAAAACAGTTTAGCGCCACCACGCTCTTGCTCGTTAAGCGGGGACGCATTGGCCGAGGCACTTAGCCAGCCTCGGTGTATATCGGCCGTGATCGCGAGCCCGCAGTAATCCCGTCTGCGTTATCTCATCGCTCGTCATTCTTAGCGCCCGGGCCGGAGCCAGAGAGGACGACGCCGCGTTGATTAAAATGAGCCCAAGAGGCACACGGAGACTTGGGGGAGGGGCGGGGTTTGCCTCAATTCCAACATGAAGTAAAAAAAAATATTACATTTGGTCGAACTAAATTGATGAGGAGCAGATATATCCTCTTGTTTTTTTTAAACAGCTGAGGGTAAAATATACTAATGGGATGATCTAATTATTTAAAGACACTGTTCCGCCAGCAACGAGGCTATACTTGTGGGGGAACAAAAATGAAGGGACTGCAGTGGCAGTCGTATATCATACGCGTATGGTCATTTTGTCAATCCACTGCTGGATGAGGGCCCTTTCACCACGCTCGTGTAGTTTGTGGGGCTTGTTTGACCGTACTTCGCCACGTTCGGCAGCGTCGGTTGGTCAAGGCACCAGTGGTAGATGAATGCTTTTTTTTTAACTTGCCACATTTATCACAAACAGAAAAAAGTGTGCTATCGGCTGACATTTCAGGAATTGGGTCTTCTCAACAGCAGACTGATCCTACATGTACATGCACTTTACGACACTGTGTACATGTACACATACATTTATGTATTTAATCCACTTACGTACACACACGCACAATAAATATAAATCATATACATCAGTATTGGTTAAAAGCGATTTTGCACGGGCATTTAGTATCAAACGAGGAAGCACATTAATCAGTGTTTCAAGGAAATTTGTCTTTATGATGAAGGTGGAGGAAAAATGCTAATTGAAGGTTTAATTATTAATCGCAAGACTTGGGCACTTTTAACCCATTCCTTTCTGCTGTGCGGGTGGCAGGGCTGGACCGTGACTGAAGAGGGCCTTTTTGGGGGTCGGAGGTCAGCTTGGGGTGCGCGGCAGCTCTCATCCTCCTCCTCCTCTGGGCATTGCATGGACGCCACTCGCCAGCAGATCCGTGGCCTCACTCGCTGACGCCAGGGGTGAAAGCACTGAGACCCTGGGGAGAGAGTGAGAGACCCCCTCTACCGTGGAAGATGAAGGGTGGATTTGTTTTGGCTTGAATCGCGCAAACTCTGGAAACCGGACGACTGCCGTGATCATCGCAGATCTTTTTTGCGTGCTCGTAATTAGGAATACAAATCTACCGTGTCGGAAGACCCTGACTTGAAGCTGAACATAAATACCGGGATATTGTTTTTTTGGTTTGACTTGTGCGAAGGCTCAGTGGGTTCAATGTTTTTTTTCCACTTGTGGTGGGAGTGCCAACGACTGTTTGGCTGTGAAGCATAGCTGAGCAAACTGAATCCAGCCACATTACTGCGCCCTCCCTCGCTAAACCTTCACTGTGCTTCACTCTACTCTTCCGTGGCCACGGTCGTGGCTTAGGACGGTGGCCGCTGGCAAGCGGTCGCTGCTGCAGCTCACCCCCCGCTCGGAAACGTCGCGCTGCAATGATACAAACCAAGCGACGGGGTGCGCAGCGTTCGCGCGGCAGCGCCCGGTGAACCGTCCTGGCAGACAGTGCATGGGACTCGCAACCGCCGCCCGTCGTCCTCCTCCGACGATGCTACCTGCGCCGCTGACGCCGAGTCCAGAAGTTCCACGGAGGCAAGCGGGGGGCAGCGCCCGACGCCCTTCCCCGTGCTAGCGTCGCGCAGTGTTTGGACCATCGATGACCACATCGGAGGCGCGACGGGGCTGCGAATATCGCTGAGGGAGCGTGTTCGACGCCGTGGGGGCATGCGGGCGCGCGCGTGAGGACGCTCGCGCGCGCTCGTGTGCGAGGACCGGACCCGACCCCGGTCGCCGGCCGCGGTGACCATGGCCAGCAGCAGCAGCCTTAGCAACGGCGGTGGCGGCGCCGGCGGAGGAGGAGGCTTCGTCGGGCCGAATGGCGCCAGCGGAGGGTTTCCCATGCCCGTGCCGTACCCCTTCCTCTTCCCGGCGAGTTTCCCCGGATCGCTGGCGGGACACTACCGGCAGCAGCAGCAGCACCAGCAGTACCAGCAGCACCAGCAGCAGCTGCAGCACCAGCAGCTGCAGCACCAGCAGCAGCGACTCCAACAGCACCACCTGCGCAGTCCGCATCCGCCCGCTAGCCTTGCCCCCGTGCTGCTGCCGCCTCCTCCGCTGCCCATGGGATGTGGTCGGAGCTCTTCGCCCAGCAGTGAGTAACACACGGCATTCGCACAGCGGAATTTAAGCCGTTGTAGTATTATTGTTGTTGTTAATGAGGGTCTGCTTTGATTCCTGTACTTCAGTGTTTCTCAAACTTGTTTCTCCCGCCGACCAGCCAGCCTCCCCACCCCTGGTGGCAAAACGCATTCACTATAAATACCAGTCATAGAAAATAAATCGTATTACCGGAATTTTTTTCTTCTTCTTAAACGCAGCTATGATGGGTTTCTTTTTAGGTGGTGGCATTTAATTAGGGTAGTTTACCTAACTTAATTTGTTTCAATAAAAAAATCATGAGTAAAATCAACATTGTCATCCTTGTCCGGATCAACCTGCATTTGCATCACAGCCTCGCAGACCACCTGGAAGACCATTGCGGACCACCCGGTGGTACCGGGAACCACACTCTGAGAACCGCTACTGTAGTTAAACCTTTGTGGGGTGTTGTTAATAAAGCATCAGTCATGGTCTAGCCACCAACTGGACGGAGGTCCTCTCCTGAGCCTCTCGGCGTGATCTCAATCGTGCATCACCATTTCCTGAAGTTTATTTCATCTGCCATACAATGGATGTTAAAAAAACTGCAGTGCACAGGCAATGCTGCCATTGTATATTTAAAAAGAAAACCCACAACAAATTGCTCAATGCAACTGTGTGGCTTGAAAAGGAACAGATATCTATCAGGAAACGTTTTCTTTGTCATAGCACATAACACCTCGTGCTATGAAGTAGGATCATTGCCCGAAAAAGTCGCCTCTCGTATTTTTGTATTTTATGGCACTGTTAGTGACGAGCATGAAGCGGCTTCGTGTGCTGTGGTGAAGGGCCATTGCCTGAACGTCACTTATCATGTTTTTCCTTTGAAGGCCACAGTGGTGTTTACGAACGTGTTGATTTTTTTGGTTAATTGAGCTTCTGCATCGCTCTCAATTGCAGCATCACCAAACGGTTTCTACCATTGTATAAATGGAGGGGTAGGGGACGATCTGCCTTGTGCGTCTTTTTGGGGGAGATTTGTGACACTGCAGATGTTGATATGGAGGCCAGGGTAGTATCTCTTGCATGGAGGAGCTGTAGCCGAGGGGACGAGGGCATGAGGCGAACATCGGTGTGCCATGGCGGTGAGATGTTAACTAGTTCGTCTGGTATATATGAGGTTGGTTCGATCCCGACACTGACGCTTGTATATTTGGAGTTTGCATGTTCTCTCCCATGTTCTCCCCACGTGTATTTTACACCGATAAGCCACTCCGTTAAGCTTTCATTTGTGACCATGTTGCTTCTGAAAAAGAGCTATGTAACTCAGTGGGCCTTACCTGCTAAAATTAAAATAGTTTAGTTTTAGTTTTTAGGATCGGTTTAATATTCAACCGGCGTGGGCGTCAATCCCAGCCTCTCATTATTTTATTACCGTCACCTTCCCCTGGCTACAGCGTCTGTCCCCTAAGCAACTATTTTTAACTTAATTAATGTACAAACCATTGCATTATTAATGCAATATTAAAGCAAGTATATTGCATTATTAATGTAGCGTATGTGTTATTTTAACGGCGTATCGTGTGAATACAAACTTTTTCGTGTTTAAAATTATGTCTCTTGACTTTTTATTCAGCCCACAGGGAATTTTAGTGGGGGGCTAATGTAACGTTTCGTTTTCTCCCCCCCCCCCACTAAAAGGCGGGGGGGAGGTAAAAGCCCCCTTCCTTCTGCCCTCCACCTAACCCCCCTTTCAAAGTGGTATCGACTGTGCCGTGGTGTGAGAAGAGAACATTTCAAAAATTTTGGTTAGGGTCCATCCATTTAGTACGTACGCATGGAGGGGGGGTTGACCCAAATGCGTACGCTTGCGCATGGGGGGTGTACTGACAATGCACGTACCCATAGGAAACGGGGTGGGGGGGGGGGTGAAACCTCAGTAATAATTTGTCTACATTGGCGTTCAAATGAGCCACAGTTCAGTTTCTTCAGCTGTCAGACAACAAGTACTACCGGGAGTTGTAGGACTGTGGGAGAGGTGTCACTTGTATGCCACCGTGCCCCTGACTGCAGCTATCAGGCAGCTCAGCAGTGAGTCTGACATGGCCTGGCGGCCTGCCCCATGGGTCACACGTCCTTCAATCTGGCTTCACTGCAGACTGCCGCTGGCTCACGGTTTTAGCTGCCGCGGTGCTCTCTGTTCATGCTGCTGCTGCCCGGACTTCAGTACTGACACTGGTCTGTGCATCGGTCTACTGTTACAGCAGATGTTCAGTCGACACACTTTATATGGAGACTGGTTCACCGATTTTTTTTTTATCGTGTTTTAAGATCATAATAGACATGTTTTTTTTTAATAACCAGTCAGAATGGATAACACGGTCAAGTATATCTGTTTGTACAAAGCTGTGTGTAAAGCTAGGCCGCAAGCTAGTAAACAAGAACAACAAAATTAAACTAATCGTATTCTTTGGGTCTTTTGGTGAAGTCGCGTAGAACAAAAAAAGATTAACAAAAAAACTACGACGTTTCGATCGCAACACAAGCAATCGTCATCAGGAGGAAACAAGAGTGGGAAAGCTGCTGAGGCAGGCTGTTTTAAAGGTTTTAAATGGGTGTAGCCCAAGGGTCATAAATGAAGTGGGCGGGGCTAGTGATGTTAAAGTGAGAAATTTGCATATTAATGTAAGATCGGAGGGCGACTTCCACGGGCGAGGGCGTGGAGGTGGCCATTGTAATGTGAGAGATTAGCATGTCAATGTAAGATCGCAGAGCCGCCGCCACATTGAGGACACGAGCGACGGTGGCTGTGTTAGTGTGAGACATTTAACCTATTAATGTTAAATCAGAGAGTCGAAAATAACCTCTAACATCGGGAGGTGGTAGGATGGAAACATCACAGCCAGTTATGACTTAAACTGGTAAATAACGTCCTTCTAATGATTGCTCAGTTTGTACCCATCTTCTCGGTTGAAATTGTGTCTGTATATATGGATGGCTTCATGAACGAATCTTTGTTGATAGCCAGTGGGTTTGCAGAGGACCTTCGTCTTGGAGAAATCAATTTCGTGTGAGCCCACCGCATTAAAACAATGATCAGCCACGGCCGAGGTATTGGTCCTACTGTGTTTCAGATCTGCCTTATGTTCACGACGGTCCGAGACATGTCGCTTAGTTTCCCTAATGTAACTACTGCCGCAGATACAGCTTAGTTTGTAGACGCCGGGGAATTGCATGTCAGGGATCATATCCTCCCCCTCTTTTTTCTCCTGATGACGATTGCATGTGTTGCGATCAAAACGTCGTAGTTTTTTGTTCATATATATTTTTTTTCTACGTGACTTTACCGAAAGACCCAAAGAATATGAATTCCTGCAGTCACAAAAGCTTTAAGTCAAAATAGAAACTAATCGGTTATGGGAGGAAATTAAGTTGGATGAAATTCCTATAATACGTCACCTGTTCGACTGGGTTCAGTTGCCGTTTGAACCTAGCGGACACGAGACAAACTTTTTAAAGGTACGCAACTGAATTCTTTAATGCAGCCGGCGGTGGACTATCTGTTTGCTTAAACACGTTAATATTATTAATCCTTGATCGTTTCTGCATGGATTGAATATCGGCTGTTCTATAGGATTCGGGGGGGGGGTGCATCAAGAAGTGTACGTACGCAGGTCGGGGGGGGGGGGTGTAAAATGTACGCGTGCATACAGGGATGGGAGGAAGGGTAAAGTTTTTACAGATTTTTGCGTACCCACTAAATGGATGGCCCCTTAAATTTCGATTCGCTGTGTAAGTGTGGTGTTGCAGGTCTCCCTTTACAAAAACGGTGATGTAAATCAACGTGGGATCTCACATTGGTTTCCTGAACAAGACAAGTGAATTGGAGCAATGTGCAGATGGGTGCTGATTTTTGAACACTCTTGCACGGATGAGGCTGGAATGTGTTGACACACTGTAACTCCGACCATTGCCTGTGATCAACTCTCCCAGAATGCACCCGGATCTCATCGGATCTCAAACGCGAAGCAGGATTTTGAACCTTGCCACTGGATTGGTAACCCCCCCCCCCATCTATATATATCTAAATGAACTCAGGCCTCCCGTAATGCACGTGATTTCTGCGTGGCCACCCCCACTCTGAATCCCTCCCCCACCCACTATGAAAAAAGACACTGCTCCATGCAGATTCGAGGCCCTTATGTAGCCTCTTTCTCCCCTATCCTCTTCTTTCCTGACCCCTTGCTCCCATTTGTCTATTCCCTTTCTATCCTCTTACCCCCTTGTTTCCCATAATTTATCCTCTCTCGTTCCTTTCTCTGTGCCCGTCCATTACATCCTTCACTCTACTCCACTTCCTGTGGTGTGTCACAGGTACCAATGTTGGTCGTGCTTAACAGCAGCTGTTATAGAGGCAGCAAGGCTCCACTGTCAGCAGAGGGCTATGGAAGTCAAGTCCATTGTCGTGCTATGCTCCAACATCCGTGCTTGCCCGCCTTTACCAACACGCGCTCACCGGCATTGTGTAGCATGGTCAAATAATCCCCATGATCCATACTGTGTGGGGAAGCTCTCATCCCGCAGGATTTACAAATGGGTGGTGGGGTTGGTGGCTCCATGATAGGTGAACTTAATATGATTCTCTTTTACTTCACATTTCATAACTCGGTCTTGGGGTTTATAAGCAGCTTGGGGAGCCACTTGCAAACCCGAGACAAGCTGGTAAACCAGTCTGTTAGAGGGGCCCCCCATTGTGTTACTCATTGCATCCGACTGCAAGGAGAAATGTGCACACATTAACAAAGCAAACATGTACGCGCTGATTGTGCCGGAACGTCGTGTAACGTTATATTTTTTAAATGGCAGCAACAATCATTTGAGCCCTCTAATGTGGGGTGCCACGGTGGTGAGATGTTAACTACTTCACTTGGTATACAGTAGGTCGTCAGTTCGATTCTGACACTGATGGCTGTTTATTTGGAGTTTGCATGTCTCTCTCCCCATGGTCGCGTG